TATATCTATATAGATATAGATATGTATGTATCTCCTAATAATTTAATTGTTCAGTAAATCTGTTAACATATTTACATTAAATATATCAAAAATTTAAAAATAATCAGACTCTCGTTTTGCAGTCATTGGTGATCCTTTCTATCCTCAAAGCCTTTGCTATGACCATACTAAGTAATGACTGATAAAAAGGTGACATAAAATTGTCATCAGCATCTGAGTGCATGTTCTTTTGTTTGCATAAAAAGTTTTAAAAATCTAGATAGGATGTAGCTTAAAAATAAACATAATTCATACTCGAAATATTTGGTACCTTTGTGAATATGAAATATAAACTATTCAAGGGAGATGAATATACAATTAGCATTACTATGCAACAGTTTTAATTTAAAATAATGTACTTAAAATTCAGATTTGGAAGATCTAAATACCTGAAATAAATTACTGAAGAATTAATGACCGTGCTTTAGCAGATTAAATTATAGCATATGACAGCAAAGAACAAAATAATTCATTTTCTAGTATTCTTTTTAAGGTATGATGTATCCAAAAGAGAACTTTAATTAACCAGCAACAATCATACCAAGTCCACAGCCTTGCTCTTAGCCTGTCCTCAACAGACATAAATTAAATACAACCCATGTAAATTATAGGTGCATAGTTCAGATTTAATTGAGCAACTTTCTCCCGGCATTAAAGAGCTGGCTCTGATGACTAGTACCTTCCAGATTTCGCAGGAGAGTAGGTCTAGTGTTTTGTTTGTAGTATTTCCTATTTACTCACACTTCAATAGACTTCAGGGTCCAAGGCCAATTGCTTTTCAAATGGATATGTTCTAGGAAGGTAGTTATACAAAACACTAATGGCCTCAAATAACAGTATTTATTGTACAGGTTCTTTCAAACCAGTAAGGCTGTTTCAAACCAATGAACATCCACCAGAAAGACCAAGCCAGATGTTGGCACGGTGGAGAAAGATTCTGCTCAACATTACAATATTACTATAATGTCTCAAATGCATGGGTACACAAATCGCTATTCTCTAAAAGCAATGAAAATTTTTGGACAAAAGTTTCATATCTTATTCCAAAAGGAGTATGCCAGAAAATGAGAGGAAAGAAATGTTTTTTTTTTCACTTGTTAAATCATGATGTATTCACCAGAAATACATAAACAATCGTAATAAACTTTTCACCTAAGCCTTTAGCAAACTGGAAAATTGTTGAAATGTATACAAATTGCATAAAAGCCAGTGTGAGGAATCAATGGTGCTTTTTCATACATACTCAGTTCTGGTTAAAACAACTGAAGACAAGCCAATGACAGGAAATCATAACCAAAATCATAAGCCAAATCAGTCTGTCAGAAGATTTTTCAATTAAATTATAAATGGGTTTCTTGAAAGAAATGTTTTCCAAAATGTAGCAATCATTTTTATTTAAAAGGCATAATCCACAATAAAAAGTTTTAAGTGTCATATAAAAAATTAAGATCAGGCTTAAGTATTTTATAAAAATAATACCCTCAGTCACGTAAAATTAGTGAACCTGTGTGGCAGGAGCATGCCTCCAGGAAGAAAGTGTATGCAGTGGGTTATGGGTGACAAGAAGGATGACTGTTGCTGCGAGTCTCATTCCTATTAACCTACGAAATGTTATAAACTGTTATTTAAAGTTAAAAAAATAAAAAATCTTTCCATTCTTAGTCATTCAAAAAGCTTAAGGAGGTTTAAAAAATGAAATGTCCATGTAGTTAGATGTAATTGTAATTTCATTCTCATAGTGGTATACTCTTCAATTGTATGAATAAACTTAAATCTCTTTCCTCCCACTTCAAAAAAGGAAATGTCAGTGGGAAAACCTAAATGACAATACAGGAATTCTCAGAAAAGTTCAAAACTTACATCTTAATGTAACTGGTAATAAAGGTGCATTTCAAAAACATAATATGGACAACCCATTAATTTTATATTACACAAGATATAAGTATAAATCTTGTTTTAAATTCTCAATATTAAAAACCGTATTATTTTAGAACTTTAGATAGCTTTTAAATTGACCTGTACGAAGTTCTCTGGTTATAAAACTAAGATGGTAATTTTTGCTTATCATCATGAATTATTCTTGTATATGTTTAATTTTACAAAGTACTTCTTATTTTCATTTTACCACTGTTTATACTGATTATCTGAAGTGTGAATGTCTAAAGCAGATCTAATATTATACAATTCTGACCACTTAAAATACCGCATGATGCGGAAACACAGTAGCATTATAACAAATAGCAACAAAAATATGTAATGCCAGTGACCCCAAAGTGAGAGGTGAAGCAGAATGATTTCTCGCTGGAGAGTGCTTTCACAACTGTAAAACTTTCTTGCATGCCTCATGCAAGACACGGGGCATATCAAAATGATAATACTCTTAAGGAAGAGGAGAAAGATACCTTTCTCCATAGAGATGCTGCTTTCTGATATACATATCATTATATTTTAGGCAAAGGAGAGACATTTGAAGACAGAAGAGTTTCAGATACGGAAGCAGAAATGATTTGCCAAGACTTAGAACAGGTCAGAGAAAGAAGAGGTTCACCTCTTTAGATTTTTGACCCTCGATGTCATAAAAGGCCAAGTTATTCTTAAACAGTATCTTTTCAGAGCTTTAAAACAAATTAAGAATACCCACACACACTGAAAAAGACAAACAAAAGTGTTTCCTACCATACATCGCATGCGTCTGCTCATGAGCCCCGTACTGAGTTGCTGAAGAGGATACTAAACCAGGCTGGGCATGTGCTGGTGGTGCCATCATCCTAGCATTACCCTGTATTACAGGACTATAGACATGAGGATGCTGTGTTCAAACAAAAAATAAAGGAAAAACATTAAAATATCAAATAGCCTCAAGGAGATTTTAGTTAGATGTCTTAACTCCATGGTTTCCAGACTTCTAAAAACAACTCTGAAAATTCTAAAACTTTTCTTTGCTATTTCCTTTGAAATATTTAAAACAACCAATGACTTTCTAATATATATTTAAAGGGTCCCCCAAATCCTTAGCTATCTACCACAGTATAACACAAAGCACAAGATATAAAGGAAAACCCCTTTACCATATTAAAAGTTAAAATTAAAAGTTACTTGAATGGAATAAAAATTAAGAGCAGCCTTACCTGAGACTGATAATGTGGCACGTGCTGAACAAGAGGCTGATTTGGAAACTGCTGAGGACTATAGGCAACGTATTGTGTGGAATAAGCTGGTGGGGTGGCCACGATTGGTGGGCCTGCTGCTGAGGCTGGGTGCATCATAGTGCTCTGATGATGCTGGTCTTGTCGCTGTTGGGGCATATTTGGTACTGCAGAAAAAGATGACTAAGTATTAGAAAAAGCATCTCTACAGCACAAAATAAATGAACACGGTCCATGAAGCTCTGTATGATTTGACCCTCCTGCCTGCCTTTCCAATGCCATGTTATACCACCCTCGCTTCCACTTCAGCCTTCTGGGATGTCTTCCTATCACACATGCTATTCTTTAGCCTCAGTGATTCTCCACTCCTGCTGATAATTCTGACTCATCCTTCAGGTGTCAACTCAAAAGCAACTTCCTCAGAAAGATCCTTTATGATGATCCCCAAACTTGATCAAGTCCCTGTGACAGACTCTTGCAGCACGATGAAATGTTTCCTTTATACTATTTTTCAAATAATAACTTGTTTTATACACCAAATAATGCCACTTACTAGAGGACATTGGATTTATTAAAAACAAAAACAAAAAGAAAAAATAACATGTAACAAAAAAGCCAAAACAGACCAAACACTAATCTTAATGCCACATTTCTTAATTTCCCACCACTGAATTCTTCCACAACTTCTTGGCCTTTCTCAAACATAGCATCACACACTATCATGTAGCAGAATTCCAAATAATAGCTCTTTTAAAAACTTACTTTGTCTTTTATTATTCCGCACAGATTTCTACCTATGGTCTTCCCGCTGTTAAAGCTCAAGGTAAGATTTTTGCTCAACTGTCAATTTCTCTATAATGTCTTTCCTAGTTCCCCCTAAAAGAGCTAGCTGCAAGCTGTCTACCTTTTCCTCACATGTCTACTATGGCAGTGTTTCCTATGATGGGTTAAGGTGCGATGCTAACCAAGCCACTTGAGGGAAGGAATCACGAATCACTGCTTACAGCCAAAGGCTGTAATAAGGCACAGAGAAAGTAAAACTTGGTATGCTCATAAAATCATCAGAACTATTTATACAAGTAAGTACTAATTTAGAGGGAGAATTTGGTTTTATTTTAAATTTTTTGCTAAAAATGTAGTAATTGTTGCTGAAATTTGAGAGAGCCAGTTACATACTGTTTTAACTCGAAAACAGAAGAAATAAAGTAACATTTTTCTGAATTTAATCTTGAGATGCCCCATATTGAAAAGCATATCCTTTTAGTAAAGAAAGGCCACCCCAAAATCAAGTATCATTTTTATCAAATAAAAGTTTGGCTAGTTAAGCTCATTGAATTTAACCTATTATCATTTCTTTTGATCCTTGATGATGACTCTCACATATTAAAAAAGATTTAAAAGGCCAGTCAGGTTTATCGTCTTTTAAAAATTAAAAATCCTAGTTACAAAAAATGCTAGACTACAATCTCAAAATGACACAGGACATCACTTGTAAAATTCTTAATATTTTAGCAGGAAATGAAAAAGGACATCTCTTGCAGAGTTCTTAATCTTTTTAGTAAACCTAGTTAAGTTTTCTTTCATCCTTTCTTTAGAAAAAAGGCCCTCTCCCTCAAATCCCAATAACTGTCCCGAAACTGGTGACTCAGATCCTCTGGCTACTGATAAAGGTCACTGGCCCACTGTTAGCAGAAATGGTGTTAGGCTAGACAGGGCCCTTAGAGTCTGAGAGGGGAAGGGACTTTAGACCAATGGTCTTTTTCGCTCTTTAAGAAATATAATCACCAAGCCTGTTTCCCTTTACTCACTTAATAGGCAAATCAATAATAGAAATTAATAGATATAGGAATTAAATAACAAGTTCATATATCTTCTTTTCCTTGTCTAGGGACTGAGGCGGCGCTTCAGCAAGAAACCCAAGATCCCACCTTGACTGAGGCAGAAAGGGAAAGATATCTATTAAACACATTTATACTAATAATAAGGGGTTCATAGCTCTTAGAAAAGAATTAGGCAGGAGTAGTAGGGGGTTTCGGGTCTGCCTGCAAAGACACTGAGGTCATCCTATTCTAGAAGGGGTCCGTCCTAATCCTCCCACAATTAAGCCAGCCAGAAGGTATTTTTAGGCTTAAAGTAACTTCTACAAAGAAACAAGTCAGCAGAGAACAGGTACCAGGTTTAAGCCAGTCACTTGCACTTGTTCAATGAAGACCCCAACAACCTTCAACTCACCTGAACCTCATTTTACCATCATTACAATATGATGCATAAGCCTGGAAATTCATTAATGTCATTATAACAGACTGAATTCTGGGAACGAACACACGCAGAAATCATATGATCAATCACTGAGTCTTGTCAATCAAGGAAGCCCATCTCTCTAAGAAAAGTAACCACCCACAGCAAATAGGAATAAAAACCCCAAAGGCTTTGTCACCAGGCCTTTTGAGCTACCCTTCTCTTGCTCAGGCCCGCTTCCACGTCTGGAAGTGTACTTTCTCTTCTAATAAAGCTTTTTTCTGCTGTATTTCGGTGTCTTGCTCAATTCTTTGTTTGAGACATCAAGAACCTGGATGACTCCCTGGGAGAGGATCTCCCAGGTAACAAAAAGATAAAAAGTTCAACAATACAAAATTGTCCTTCTGCATTCATCTGCATTCGATTCTCTTTCCCAACAGCAACCACTGTATGCGCCCTTCTAGATTATCTTCTATTCATTTACATATATGCATATGCATGCATACCAGAGACATACTTGGTTTTATGGTGGTGTTTTTTCCCCCTAAATTGGATCTATCTATCTTAATCTTAAAACTACAATTTAAATGAACCAAACTTTAGCCATTTCCTTATGTCAATGGTTTTCAACTGAGAGTAATTCTGCCTTCGAAGAGACATTTGGCAATGTCTGGAGACATTTTTGGTTGTCACAATTGGGAGGAGAGGTTACTACCAGCATCGAATGGGTAGAGGCCGGGTAGAGGCCAGGGATGCTAATAAATAGCCTACAATTCACAAAACACCACCTTGCTACTCAAAGATCTGTCCCAAAACGTCAACAGTGCCAATGCTAAGAAATTCTGCTTTATCAAGTCCTTGACTTTGGCATATTTTCAAACACAACTCAATTTTTCTCGCAGGTTACAAGAGATAACACTGCTTATGTACCAAGAAGACACAGGTAGTTTTGTGCAAAGGTCCTACTTCATGCAGGAAAGATATATGTGCCCTATACAATCCATGGTTGCATTTCAGAAGCAAGTCCTTGACTTTGCCAGTTATTTGACAAGCAGCAGAATATAAAATTAACATAAAAATATCAATAGTCTTTATATATGGTATTTCATAAACTCACTTTATAAGTAACTACTTAGAAGATGCAATGGAAAAGATGATCCTGGTTTATATTAACATTTAACAACAAAAAGCATATGTCCAAAGCATAAACTGAGGAAACACACAAAACCTTTAAGAGAAACTTAAAAACACTACTGAAGATACAGAAGCAGATTTAAACAAGAGGAAAGGCATAATTTGTTCTCGGAGAGGGAGACTCAATATAAAGACAGCAATTCTCCCATTATTTTTTTTTTTAATATAATGTAATTCAGATAAAAATGCCAACTGTCAAATTGAATGTTAAAATGCATGAGTTCATACTTATATAACAACAAACCCTAAATAGTCAACCTGTAGAGGATAATAAGAAATCAACTCATTTTGAGAATTGCCTGGAAATAATGGCATTTTAGTTGCCTTTATTGCACAAACTATTCATCATGGTAACTAAATAGTTTGACAAGATACAGTTTTTCTTTACAGAAATATTCCAGTTAATCACTGAAGAATGGATGATAGAAAAATTGTTACCATGTTGCAAACCTTTAATGAAATAATGGATCTAGGGTTAGAAAATCATCATCAATGGCTGCTAAAACAAACAGTGAAGAGCTGGCAGGAAAGGTCTGGCCAAGTTATTCTTACTATCACAAAAAAGAGAGATGACAAGAAAATTACATAACTCTTAGTGAAAATATGCACGTTGTTAAAACATTCCAGATTAAGTTTTTAAAAAAACACCACCTAATCCTATCATACCTCTCTTTATCTACTATCAGTTTACAAAGATTACAAGGGGCAGAGGACCACTTTACACAACACCACAGGGATGAAGTCCACAAAATTCGGATGGTGGGAAATAAACGACAAACGAGCTAGATTTAAACAGGTGCGAAGGAGAAAACTTTAAGAGATTTATTAAGAGAGCTATATCAATCAAAAGGTGTGAACTTTGGATTGTAGCTCGAATAAGCCAACTATTAAAAAAATATAAAATAACAGATATTTGTACTTTGGATATTTAATAAGCAAGGAATAATCGATTTTTTAGCTGTGAACAAAGGTATACTATTAACTATGATTTTAAAAAGAGTCTACAACTCTTAAAATATACACACTGAAACCCAGTAGCCACCCCATCCACAGGAGACACATTCTGAGACCTTCCCCCAGTGAATGCCTGAAACCGTGGAGAGTAGTTAACCCTACCTATACATACTATGTTTTTTCCTATACAGACATACCTATGATAAAGTTTAATTTATAGATTAGGCATAGTATGAGATCAACAACAACAAAATAGAACAATTATAACAATATAGTTGACTCCTGGACAACATGGGTTTGAACTGCCCAGACACTTACTTACAATTTTTTCCAATAAATACTGTAAATGAATTTTCCTTATGATTTTCTTAATAACATTCTTTTCTCTAGCTAACTTTATTGTAAGAATACAGTATATAATATATGTAACATACAAAGCATGTGTTAATCAACTGTTCATGTTACTAGTAAATAGTGTAACAATCAGAGAACAAATATTTTGAAACTATTTTATACATATTATAGAAAAATGTAAATAAGCCAGTCTCTAAGATGGCCCCAATGATCTGCTTCCTGGTATTCACACCCTAGTGTAGTCCCCTCCCATACCATACCAGGTTTGCTCTGTGTGACCTATAGAAGTGGTCCACAACACCTGGGCGTGCACCAGTTCTGGTCCATGGCCTGTTAGGAACCAGGCCGCACAGCAGGAGGTGAGCGGCGGGAGAGCGAGCAAAGCTTCATATGTAATTTTAGCTGCTCCTCAGGCATTAGATTCTCT